AGGTCAGAGTTGTGTTCTGCCTGTGTTGGTGGCCAGCCAACCACAGAGCAGGGTTAACTTTACAGGCATACCAAGTTTTTGTTTAACTAATTGAATTGAGATTTGGAACATTTAAAATACAAATCTGTTAGACCAGTAGAGGACTTACACTTGTACTTGCCCTAATGTAGTTATATAATGGCATTTAGGTGTCTTTAAATACACAGGAATATCTTTACTGCTGTGAAGTAAGTTTATTCTGATAGGGTGAAGACTCATCTGACCAGCGTAGGCATCTATGTCCAAGCCTTGTGTTCCCTTTACAACAGAGAAATGTAGGTATTTCTACACATCGGACATGATTCATTCAACCCTGGCTTAGACATCTCACACAGATTACATTAATTTTATTCCAGAAGCACCTGTTTCTGTTGTAGCCTGTAAAAAGAGGAGTAACTAGTTTAGTTGTAAAGTGAGTGAAGCAAAGAATTCCACACTATCCACACTTGCACTACATTAATTGTCCCAGAAATAAGTTGTGTAGTTTCTGTTTGAAGATAAAGTGATAACCTCCTACCTCTCTCCTTCCTGTTTCCACCTAGATTTCTGTTAAGTCACTGGTTCATTCTTCTGCTTCCCAGCAAGACTGATCACCTTTGGCAGGTCTCACAAATCTCTAGTAATGGAGAGTCCAGCTCCTCACCTCTTGATGTTTCCATTCTCACTGTCCCTATGAATAAAAGAATATCCTACGTGAAACACATTTTTTTTCCAATTTGAGCCCTTTAATTCTTGTTCATTTCACAGTCACAGAAGGATGAGTTTGGAAAGGCCCTCTACAGATCATCTGGTTCAACCCCGTGCTCAAGCAGGGCCACTTAGAGCCAGTTGCCCAGGACTGCGTCCAGACGGCTTTTCAGTATCTGCAAGGATGGACACTCCACAGCCTCCCTCAGCAACCTGTGCCAGTGCTTGGTCACCCTCTGTAAAAAAAGTGTTTCCTGATGTTCAGAGGGAACCTCCTGTGTGTCAGTTTGTGCCCATTGCCTCTGGTCCTGGGCATCACTGAAAAGAGCCTCACTCTATCATCTTTGCACACCCCCTTCAGGTATTTATGTGCATGGATAAGATCCTCCTGAACCTTCTCTCCTCCAGGCCAAACAGGCCCAACTCGCTTAGCTTTTCCTCATAGGAGAGATGCCCCAGTCCCTTAATTACCTTTGTGGCCCTTTGCTAGACTCTCTCCAGGATGTCCATGTCTCTCTTGTACTGGGGAGCCCAGCAATGAACACAGCACTCCATGTGTGGCCTCACTAGTGCTGAGCAGAGGGAAAGGATCACCTCCCTCGACCTGCTGCAGCACTCCTCCTAATGGAGCCCAGAGTACTGTTAGCCTTAGACACAAGGGCCCATTGCTGGCTCATGTTCAACTTGGTGTCCACCACGACAGCCAGGTCCTTTTCTGCAAAGCTTTTCCCACTGGGTTTGTAGAACAGTCTGACCTCTTTGCATCAGCTCTTAGTGTATTTGAAGAGTTTCATATCCTCACCCTGAGATTTTTCTTCTTTGGGGTAAACCATCAATTTTTTTCAGATTTTTTTTGTAGGTCATATTTTCTAGACCTTTCATCACATTCATTGCTCTTCACCAGCCTCCCCAGTTGATCCACCTCTTTGTTATACCAAACAGGAACAGATTTGCCCATCTGGGGCCTGAATACTAGTGATCAGAGCATAAGGATTACTTCCTGTGTTTTGCAAGCTATATTCTTGTTTAGGTAGTCCTGTATAGTGTTTTTTTTCTTAGTGACAGCATGACTTGTTGGCTCACATTCATCTGTTCCACCATGTAGACTCTGGGCCATCTTCTTAGGAACCGTTAGCCTGCCTGTATTTTTTGCACCTGATTATTTCTGCCTGAGCATATTCATTGCCCTTGTTTTGAATTCTGTTTTTAGCCCATTTCTCCAATTTAAGAGTTTTTTTTTTTAATTCCAGTGTTGTCCTTCACACCTGCAGCCCTTTTTCTAGATGTGTCACCTGGAAACATGACAAGCAGAGTCATTACATTTCTTTCTTGAAGTGTCCTGTTCCCTTGTCCAGTGCTAAAAAAATGCCCTAAGCCCCTGACTGCTCAAATACTTGGGAATATCTTGCTGAGACACTGCCATATATCCTACAGGACAGTCAGAGAAGTGAATCCAGCTGTTTTAAAATTTAGGCTAGCAGCTGGCTGGAGACTATGTCTGCAAAAGTTTCCGAAAATGCTCTAAAACCCCTCAACCTTGTTGAAGCAGAGGCTCAGTTCACTTGAGCAGAAGAACAGGTTATTATTAGTTAGGCATTTTACAGGATTGTCTGTGTCTTCTATTGCTTCTCACACATAAGTCTCAAAGTGTGTTGCAGGGTGGTCAATATCATTGTTCCTGCTGTGCTGAAATGCCAAATAAGCACTCAGAGTTGATAATTTGCCTGCGGTTACCCAGAAGCAGAGCAGAGGACTCCAGAGTGGCTGTTTAGTACATTATTCACTCAATCAGTGTTTGCTGAGAAGAATCCACGAGGGGAAGGTTGACACAATATATCCACAAGGACAGAGATCACATCAAAGAGTTTAACACCTCAAATTGACAAAGGCGAAGCAGGAGCACAGAGGGATGCATTAATTTTCTTCTAGTCTCACAGCAGGTTAATGGAAGAAACATGGCTCCAAGCCAGGTGCCTGGCCTTGCTGACAAGCAGCCCACCCCCAGGCTAGGCTGGCTCAGCAAGGGTCTGTGGTCACACTTTCTCCTCCTGAGCTGACACCGTTTTCACCTGACAGTGGAAGAGAGAAGTGATAATATGAGATACATTTGTTTTGCACACCAGTGAAGTTCTAGGCACAGAACTCTCTGGCAAAGGGCAACAAAATAAGAAGAGAATTTAAAAATGCTGTACCATGTATTTCACATTTGACAATTTGTACTTCAGAGTTAAAACAATTTCATATGTGCCCTTTGAAAGCGTGAGGCTGCATGCATGAAGAAAGTACCTATTTCCCTTATGTTTTGAGCAGGGACCCATATGTTTTAAAAATTAAAAAGAACAATTAGTCTTGGAGCATTAAATCTGCCCATCTGGGTAGCTGACTAGCTTTCTCACAGAGATGGCTGTCCCAGAAAGAAGCTGAGGAAATCAGGCTTAGAAATGTAGATATTAGTAGGTGTGCGGGAACATAAATTAGGAAAATTGACAACTTTAATTACTTTCATTTACTTTCTTTTGCTGAGTTCTCAGGCTGACATCAGAAGTTACATCTGTCAGGTTGCTAGCAGGGTGCGGTATGGAGGCAGAGGGGCATGGGGACAGGATAGGCTCAGTTCCCATGTTGACAGTAGGATCTGCAATGACAGCGTATTATCTGACGTAAGAAATCCTTAATAGAAACAGGAGCTTCCCAACATCTCTCCCAAACATGGAAAGTACCATGTAGGGGTAGCTGTCAGCTCAGCAGCAGCATCTTCCAGGACTCAGGGTGCTTAAGTCACATCATTAGTACAGACACCTCTGGATTTTCTGATTGAGGTTTTCCTATTTTACTTGGAAGGATAATGGATGGAAGGAGGATTAAATGATAAAGTGAATCATGTGAGAGTGAGGGAATGCCTACACAATGAAAGAAAGGGTGACTGGAGGAGACTGGAGATTGTGTGGAATAGAAAAATACAGATTTAAGGCATTATGGTGCCTAAAACTGTGCTAAGATGCACAAAGTTTTTGTATCGTGCCTGTTTTGACTACGAGATCCTTGGGGTAAGGGCTGTGGTTTCTTTAGATCACCTAGCACAGTATTGCCCTGGTCTTTGTGCATTCCTGGAATGAAAACATTGACAATGTTTTTCATGGCAGAGGCCATGGCAGGCTGTATTTACAAAGACATCCAGTTTATCCAATTGAATTATTTTCTGCTCAAACAAAACATGTTCATCTTAGCTTTCTGTTTGTTTGGTTTTGTTTTTTAAATGCTATATTCAGGTGAGAAGTGTCCTACTGCAGTATTTGACAGTCACTTTTGTGTGACCTGAGTAAGTTAAAAATTAGACTGTATGTAGCCCCAAATGTCAAATATATCATTACAGTTGGTTTTCAATGTCCATTTCAGTCTGATAGTTTTGTGCTTGACTGCCATCATGGAGCAAGAGGTAACAAGCCAGGGCCTCATGGAGCCAGAGGTAACACCCACTGGACAGCACTCAAAACATCTAGCCATTTGAGAGGCAAATGCAAAATCTATAAACCAGTGTGACGAACCACCTGCTGCTCCTTTCCTACTGTTCCTTCTTCTATTCTGCAAATACGAATTACATGAATCCATATCACCAAGAAATCTGCAGACTCTAACAGAATGTCAGCCTTCAACTCTGCTACATGTATGAGAAGGCAAATAGGAAATAGGAGCACCGGTACACTTTTCCCATGCCATTCATTACTTTATGGAGTTCTTTCTCATATCTGTTCTTATTTGATTCTTCTATAACATGGCCACATTTGACTTAGTAGCTGTTTTGCTGAAAAAGAATGGAAGCTAATTCACCATTTCACTAACTGCCTTTCAGATAGCTGTCATTTCCCTTTAAGTTTTTGCTTTTTATAATTTATAGCTAAGTAACAGAGAAGGACCTGCCCTGGAATTTGCTTTTAAGGCCGGGTACCTTCCAGGAGCAAGATTTAGAAGCATTATTTACACACCATTCTGAGAAATACATGTTATTGTGGTTGCTTTCTTATTTAATTGGGTTGAAATAGAATCCAACATCTGACTTGGGAGTACTTTTGTGTCAGTACAGGCTATTTTCTGACTCACCTTGGTGAGTAGACTGTGTGAGTCTCATTGCTTGAATAGGTGAGTGCAAGAGGCTTCTGTATAAAAGGCTACAGTTTATTATTTTAGCTGATGGAGGAAAGATGGGGAAAGTAGAATGGGGATCCACACCTATCAGCTAATTTTTCCTTTTCTAAATTCTATTTTTATTTTTGCAGGTCATGGAAATCAAAGGACAAATGATTCATGTGCCAGAATCAAATTCAATTTTGTTTCTGGGTTCCCCCTGTGTGGACAAACTGGATGAACTGATGGGGCGAGGCCTCCATCTTTCGGACATACCTATCCATGATGCTACTCGCGATGTCATATTGGTTGGGGAGCAGGCAAAGGCCCAGGATGGCTTGAAAAAGCGAATGGATAAGCTGAAGGCAACGCTAGAATGCACACACCAAGCCCTGGAAGAGGAGAAAAAGAAAACAGTAGATCTCCTTATTTCTATTTTCCCTGAAGAAGTGGCTCAGCAGTTATGGCAGGGGCAGCAGGTTCAGGCCAGGAAGTTTGATGATGTCACCATGCTTTTCTCGGACATTGTTGGCTTCACTGCTATCTGTGCGCAGTGCACGCCCATGCAAGTTATCAGCATGCTGAACGAACTCTACACGCGGTTTGACCATCAGTGTGGATTCCTGGACATCTACAAGGTAACAGCCTAAGTCCTAAGTTAGCAAAATCTAATTGAAACTAAGATAGAAAAAAATCCCAGTAACCATATTCCTAAATTACAGACCTTCCCTATAAAAAAGGAAAGGCAATATTTTTGTTCTGTGTGAAAAAAATAAATCTGAAATATGCCCATTGAAAATCAAATACTTTGATGCTGAGCTGTCATCATGGTTCCCCCATGGGAATATGTGCCTCATATTCCCATTTTCCTATAGGAATGTACACCTCTTGCATTATAGCTTGGTTTCCTTTAGGTGACACATCAGCCACAGTGTCCTAGGGATGATGAAATGCACAGTGATGATCCAAGCTGCAGCACCTGGAAGGCACTCAAATAGTTTCAGCTGAAACTTGAATGGTTTAGGGTTTAGCCACTTACCTTTCCCCTGAAAGAATTTAAATTTTCCATAAAAAGCAGAGCATTCACTAAAAAAAATGTTGTGAAAGATTTAAACTTCCACTGAAAAATGGGAACAGGACAGCAGATGTCCATTCATAGTAAATGGAATGAGTGGACATGGCACTGGGCTGCCATGCTCCTTTACTGCTGTGCGGAAAAGGAGATGTCACATGTGTTGGTCCTGTTACAGCCCATCACCTTCACTTCTTTTCAGTGGATTTGGTGTCCAGTATGTATATTCTTATAACTGAATGCACCTAAGAAAAAAATGTAGTTGTAAAATTATATATTGATTTCATTTTCTGTCTGAGGCTTGCAAACTGAATCACCAGTTTTCAAACTGTTTCAAATAGTATTTGTTGATAGGCTATAGAGAAAAGGTCTTCAGAAGAGTGCTGTCCATTTCATTTTTAGCCTGTAATACACTTTAAAAGGCATCTCAAAATATTAATTACCCACCTAAATAATAATTGTGGCTGAAAAGTTACAATACATACCACAGATAGAACTGAACATGGTATAGATATAGGTTGGTAGGACAGTATACCAAGGTAAAAGATCACACTGTAAATAAGTTTTGTGCTCCTGGGCTAGGCGTTTGTATTACTAATGCTCAGAAACCAAAGGCCATGCTGGGAGAGGACTGCAATGGAAGGTACCAACCCTTATTTGAAAATTGTTACAATCTGAAAATTGTTCTGATATAGTCAGAAAAGATTGGAAGTTTGATCTTTGTTTGTATTAATCTAATGTTGCTGCACTGGATCTCGAGCCAGCTCTGAGAACAGGACTTGAGGAACTTCTGACCTACAGTCAAGAGGGATATCTAATGACCTTGTTTTACATGCTGTATCTGGTACATGGGTGTAGTTAGTGTTTTCCCAGATGATTAATTTTAGTTAGCTATTTTGAGGCATTCAGGACATTCTTTGTTGAAAACTATGGTTGCATGGGAATAGGAAATAAAGTATGTAAAACTCTATGATCTGTTTGGAAGGAAGGTTGGTTGAGTCCTGTGAGAACACTAAGAAGAAATATTTATACATAGGTCATTAATATTATATCATTTAGACCACGGCTTTCTGCCTTTCACCTCGCTTTTTGCCACTTTAGATAGAAAAATGTTGCTGTATGAAAATAGTCTCCTGACCAGTGAAATAAGATGACAGCTGCTGAGATAGGCAAGATAAGATTTATGCATTCAGAAAAGGAATAAACACTCCAAAAAGTTAAGACCCCTATGTAATTCTATGAAGAGGGAAAAAACAAACCTATTTTTCCATGGAAGGATGTCTTACACCTCTAACACCCTTTCTCCACTGTTACTGCCTTAATATAGCCAGTTCTTTCTCAGATCCTTTCATCCTGGGTTTTTCTCCGTCTCTCTAGTCCTCCATGTCCCTACACGTCCCCTGCTTCCTTCCACAGCCCACCTGTGAGCAAGGCAGTGTGCACTGTGGCTATTTTGGAGATGTATGTACCTTTTTCTTCTCCCCCCAGATCTTTTTTTCATTTGTTTTTTAAACAGAAGTCTAAAAGAGTTACTGTGAGGTTAAGTGAAAATGACTCAGTTGAGCATTACAGAAAGACAAAACTTGGGCAATGAACCCTTTTCCTTAGAGAATCAGGCTCAAAAGAAAATGACAATTCTTTTGAAAAAGTATTTCCATTTTAAAATAAAAATAGCTCGTATGTTTATATCTTTTTCATTTGTTTCAGATGATACTCTGCAAGCTAAGTTTATTGCTAGGAATGATCACCACACAACAACTATAATTTTAGAAATTATTGTCAGGCAGTGAATTTTAGATCTGTAATCACCAGTATTTGTAACCACAGCCTGCCTCTAAGATATACTCCTGTAACTAGGCTACTGAGGTTTATCATATGACCTATATATATACATCAAAACAGATCAATTTTCAAATTTGCTTGTTTTTAAGCAACATGGCAAGAATAATTTGCAAAGATTGTTTGGTGAGTACTTCTGAATACCAAATTCACTGATTTGTAAACAGAAAATTAAGCAAAATTAATTAAATAAATTCCATGCTGTAAATTATTCACCCAGCTTTACTGTTACAGCATTTTGAATTCAGAACCTTGGTGCTTCTAATCTTGGACTCAGACAATGAACTTAATATTTTCAATTGTCTCATACTATTCATTCAAGGATGTTTACAGAGAAGTATGGCACAGAAAGAAGAACAAAGATCCTTGTGTTTAACAAGTCGGACATAGAGGGCAAGCATAATGAGCTGTTGGATACAGAATAAGAAATGCTTGGAGAGGGCTGCAGGGGGATGAATTAGACTGAAATATCTTGGAAATGAAAGTAAGTAGCTATAACTGATGAGGTAGGGAAAGGATATCCAATGGATAGACGCGTAGGTAAGAATGACACAGGCAGATGATGGGCTCAGAAAATGAACTTCACAGCAGCATTTTGAATGGATACCAAAGGCGACAGATTACATTTGTCCAGGCTGAGGGAGAACACTGCAGTAATTGAGATGCACAGTGATACAAGCCTGGGTGACAGTTTTAGCAATCTGGAAGAATCTGTGTTTTACAGAGTGAAACTTTAGAAGGAATCTGCTTACATATAGCCTTGATGAAAAGATCAAGAGGGACACTCTCAGGGTAATCACAGAAGGGAGAGGATGTGAGAGAACTGAGACCTGGCAATGCATTTGGAAACTGGTGCTGCTGTCTATCTGGGCTTATTATATTTTGCTTGGAATTGAGGAATGGGAGAAAAAGATGCTGTTAAGCAGGGAGTGCAAATCAAAACAGTGTAGATGCAGATGCTTGGTAAGCTAGTGTCTGTGGACATGCAAGTAGAAACATGGGCTCCAGGAGGACAAGTAATGGGAGAGAGAAGATCTCAGTAAATTTTGAAAGCAATCGCTGTGAGTAAAGTATATACTGGTTGGCCTGACTGTTTGTGTCTTTGTTTTGACCTTTTTTTCTCTGTATCTGAGTTCCCTTTGTTTATGAGCCAAGTGCTGGGAAATGATGCTTCAGCTAAACCATCTCTTTATCAAATAAGCTATTTAGATATGCTGCAGCCATGGCTACTGGCATTTAAAACATAACCCTGGAGACTGAAATTTTCCCTGCTTAAGATTCCTGTAGCTTCTGTTTCTCCCTCCAAGTAATATGTCCTTGATATAGGATAATTTTAAATATTTTTTTCTTGTTGAGTCCTTTTGCCTGTGTAGGCCTGCTTTCTCAGCTCTTTTCCCCTCAGTTTCCTTTCTGAAACAACCCCATTCCCCTCCCTTGCCCTTTAACTACTGTGTGGAGTAAAGACAGCATGTCCTGTGGCTGGTTTTTTGGCCGTGCATGCACTGGCTGGGTGGCTATATATGCTGGCTGGGTAACACCAAGCCAAGTATAGCAGAATCAGGCCTGCTCCTATAGGTGTTAGTTTCTTTGTCCTTTCTCTGGACAGTGCAGCATTTGTCCTTGAAGACGCTTGCAGATTTCCCCCTAACACTAAACTTCACTTTCTGTGAAGTACTGAGTCCCACTTTCCACGTCTAAGCAGAGAGTCCTAAGTATTTTCATCAATGAACTGTTGTCAGCTGCCAAAATTTCTTTGCTATACATCTTTATTGTCAAAATTTTAATTGAAAGTTTATTGAATATTTATTGAATAAGACAATGTAATTCCACAGGTTAATTTTACAGTTAGAATTCACAACTTTGTTATGTGAATTTCTGCTTTCTTTTTGGTTCCATTATTTGGCTAAACTGATGCTCTCTCTGAGTGGTGCCACACACATGCCTCAAAGTCCTTTAGCAGCTTCCTTGGGGTTCTCTTTGGCTATTATTCCTGGCAACTTTATTTCACTTACTTTACACTGAATTATACTATTTTATTTTTTTCTGAATGATACAGTTAGTATGTCAGATCTTCATTTTCTGATTCCACACACCTAACTCTGGCTATAGCTTTAATTTTTGCTCATTGTAAAGACCTGAGACTAAAAAAGGGTGGAAGTCTGGACTGTTCTGCAGTCATTTGAGACTGCTACTCACCAGTTCTGAAGAATGTTGTTTATATTGAGGTTGTGATATAATGCTTTTAGGAACCTAATTTTAAACTTGCGTTTTTTAAATATATTACTTTACATTTTTATACTGGTAGTTTAAGTTGCAGAAATCAGTATTTGTTTTACAGAAGATATCAGTACTTTCTCAGTGCCATGACTATCCCTCTGATATTTGTACATATTCATATGTATGTTCATAAGCTTACTATCAGTGCAATAATGACTAAAGAATACTGCAATGACAGGGGTCATGAACTTCAGACTGTTCTGAAGTTTTCCAGACTTTATGTTTCATAAGTTAAAAACCATAATCTCCAAGTTTTCCAGTAAAACCTATGGCCACTGTTTTTGTCTTCTTTCTCATTGGCCTCTCTGGCTTTGCATGAACTTGCTGGCACACAGGTGTTTCTCACTCCAGTATGAAGTCAGGGGCACCTATCTTTTTGGGGAACTCAGGATTGTTCTTGGGTTAAGTTAGAAAAAAAAAAAGAAACACGAAAGATTCCTTGGGTTTTCC